CTTTTTCATTATAGTGGTATATGATTATAAATCTGCATTAGTAATAGATATTGCTTCTGAATTTACATCTTAACATTAGGCTTCTAAAAAGTGACCCTTTCCTTTCTCCCATGGACCTCTTTTGAAAATGCACCAAGTAGCAATCCAAAGAAAACCTGAAACCATTAACACTCAATTATATCAATTAGAAAATGCTTTGAACTGCATTGTTTAAAGTATAAGGACAAATGTTATACCTGCAATCCCAATGTGGTTCTTGGACACTTTATCTAAGGAAGTGCAAAGGAATATAGAATTCAAATAAAGTTTATTGTTTGGAGAAACACAGACTAAAAACAAACGAAAAAAATTATGAAAAGATATGAGGTATAGCTGTAACACTAAATATTTCACTGGTAATTCTTGTAAAAAGAATACTGCTGTTAAATCATACTAAGATGCTAAGAAATTTCATTCCATAACGATACAGTAAGAAACAATGTAAAAAGAGAGATTTTACGAAAGAATAACATTTTTGTAATTTACCTGACGCATTTAAAAAATCTGCCATTAGCACTAGTGAAATTTTGACTTGAGAATTTTAACAAAACGAATAGACATATACATGTTTTGTCATGCTATTCATGTGTCTGAGACCCATGTAATGCTTCCTCTTCTTTTCTAAATAGCTCTTCCAAAGTACTTTTATTAAAGAAGTTTGTTAAATGTTTAGGGGGGAAATGGTAGGACTGAATTTTTAAATACAATTGTGTTTGAGGCCAAGTGTTTAATTAGAATTTCTACTTACCGTTTTGTCAAAAGTGTGCTCTAATTACTTCAAAGTTTAAAAAAATTCAATCATTAGTCTGCTTTGTGCATAAATATTTGTCTTCTTTTTGCCGAATTAAAATTTTGGCATTTTCTTATGTGATTTAAGTTTTTTTGCTGAACATGGAATCACACTGAGAGGGAGTGAGCAGAGAAGAGTTTCAGGTGTAAATTACAAAGTAAACATTGTCATTGGGATTTATCACTGAACAATATAGAGAGCCTGCCTTTGATTTAGACTGCAAAAGCTACCTGACCTCAAAAAAATAAAGCCACACAAATACAGGCATGCTTAGAATTGCCCTTCAAAGGCTACAAATCTTCTAAAATTTTTAGTACAGTGCATTAGTAGCAGGGGTGAGTGCTTCCATAATCTCTTACCATCTGATTTAGTATAAGACTTGTACTCTGGGTTGTTTGTTTGCTAATCTTGCTCTTTCTGCTTTTCTCCAACTAGCACAGCCAGTCTGCTGCCTTAAGCCACTAACTGTATTTTACCTCTTTTCCTCTCTTCTGCACCTTTTTTCTGCTTGCCACCAGTTCTTCACTTTTTTTTTCCTTGGTGTTAACACCAATAAGTAACTAAGAATTACACCCTTTATTATAATCTTAAAAGTATACAGACACACGGAAAAGAGAAATTAAACACGTGCAGTCTGTGTAACAAGTGAGCTGTGTGATCCTGTTAAATAAAATATGGAAAGGTAGGGGTGGTTATGTATTTTATTTTTCTGTCTCTTAATATATTGCTACCACCTCCAGCCTCCTCATGGAGTTCTCCTTTATATAAGCTGCCTTTTATAGACCAGTATGCCCCAGCTTATTAATAAACAGAATAAACTAGAAATCTGAAAAAGTGTGGATATTTCTGTGATACAAAAAAAAAAGAAAAAAATTAGTTTAACTATATTGTTAGTAAATATGGTCATCTTAATAAATCAGTGAGTATACTGTAGGTCTGAGCATAAAATGTTTGAAAAAAATTCTGTAAGTATATAAAAGTGGTAAAGGAACATGTCCCCATTTAGCATAGCAGAGAAGATACTGTGTTTTAAGAGAAGCTTAATCTGGAAACAGCATGTACCCTGAAGATGCTGTATTGCTGTGCAGGAGGTCATCTTACAGGAACACAGAAATGGTGAAAGTGCAACTTTGCCTCTGCATTACTTCAAGGTCAATTAATGGAGAGAGAATACCCAGCTGCATAGTCATTCTCGAATTCTACGAAAACATTAGGCTGAAATATACAGAAAACCATTCATAATTCAGGAAATAGGGATATAGAAATAGAGAAATTAAGTTGTGTCTTCAGGAAGCATTCTTTTGAATGTCTGTAAAAAGCAGGACTTGGCAATTCTATATATAGTTACAAATAAGAAAAATTCCTTGGCTAATGAGGATTCACTGAACCTAAGGTATCAATAAAAATAAATCTATTTTAACCTAATAGCTGTGAAGGTAACTTGTGTGTGTGTAACATTCTGTTGCTGGATCCTTTTTGGCAGCAATTCTTATGTCCTGTGTGTTTTCATGTATCCACCTGAGGTATGCTCAGTAGTACAGTGCAAGTTGCCCATCAGTTCTTTGCTATTACACAACCCGCATGTCACCAATCTTGAAATGGGAAGATAATAAATTGTAGAGCATGTACAAATAATACATCTTGAAGAACAATAGGTTGCTAAGTGTTTGCAAATGAATGAAATACAACTGTAAACAGCTAGATTTGTATTTTGAAACACAAGGGTGAACTGTCTTAAAACCCAAATGCTGATTTGGCCTGCAACAAGAACCATTCGGCAGCATGTTAGTGTATGGTAAGATTTGGAGGGAAAAGGAGTCCTGCTGTTCCCACTTTGCTGATCCTATTCCTTAAGCTACATTCTGCTTTTGCTCCTACTATAAAATTGCAGAGAAAATCCAGTTAGTATTCATAATAGTAGTTCTACTGGACTGCCCCAAACCTGCAGTGCAGAAGGCAGGGAATTCTCTGGTGGCTGGGCTCTGCAGTGCTTTGGGTGTTTTGTCCGAAGGATCGTAAACACAGCCTTTTGGAGCGCAGCAGAAAGCCGCTGCTGTCACAAGAGCACTTTGAATGGGAGGAAACTTAAAAACTTATGTTGCCTGTCTTAGTTGTCTAGGTTGCAGTCACATAGAACTAGCTTAGGTCTGTCTGAACTAATGGTTTAAATGGTGCTAGCCACGTCCCTGCAACAAATGCAAGTCATCAAACTGTTGATCAAATTCTAAAGTAGATTTTGCAAGTTGTGTTGAAATGAGAACTGATACCCTATGCAAATATGATGCTACCTGACATAACTGACAATTTAGTAATCCCAGGCAATTCTAAAATTTTAGTTCTCTTCAATGTCTAATAATCTCTGATTTACCGTATGTTGATGGTAATGAACTTGAAATAGAAATTGTTTATACTGCCTTTAATTGATGCTTTTGTTTCCTTTACCTTCTTTTATGAGAAAGGTTAAATACTATCAATGTTTTTTCTGCAGGTATCATTCACTACTTTATCTACTTCTGTTATGTTCACTAAATTCACCTCCTCTCCAAACAAAATAATGTTAGTCTTTTAAATCTCTCCTTGTATGGATGACTGTCTCTGTTAATCTGTTTATGACATTATCTGGTGCTTTTTTGTGTTTCTGACACATCTTTTTTTAGATGGATGCTGTTAGTGAGCACATCATTTCTAGAGAGGTCATGCCATACATTCATGTAATGGTATAATATTTTAAATCTGCATTAAAAAGAGATGGTTATGAACATTTTTCTTTGGTTTATTCTGTCCCTTAAACTGACTATAATAATTGTTAGGTCTTTTTTCGGCAGTAGTTTCAGTTAGTTTAAATCTCATCGGTGAGTAGTAAAAATCTTTGTCTAGAGTATATGTTCGTGTCTTCTGATGGTTGCTCTGACTTCTTTCTGGGAATTGGAGACCCTTTTGGAGCCGTTCCTTTCAAGGTGATGTGTGTAGCTTGTGCTGCTTCTTGAGGCGGTGGCTGCCTTCACTGCCTTTGAAAGCTGTTCTTACTCGGGTTACTAACCTAGACACTGATCTTGCCTTTTTTCCTCCCTTCTCTCCGTATCTTCCCCAAGTTTGTCCTTCTCTTGTTATTTAGGGTATACAATTTTTTCCGTGGGTTTTCATCATGGAGAAACCTTAAACTTTGCCTTTTTTTGGGTAGCAGGGTTTCTACTGATACACTTCAGTGAGACCACATTGGTAAAAAACTCTTTTTTTTTGTGGATTCCCAAAGATAAAGGACAGTGGTTGCTTGATGAGGTACTTTAGGACAACTTACATGTCTCTCTTAAAGTCTGGGCTGCTCTCTGCCTGCAGTTTCTGCATCTACAGAATTTTTTTTTCCCAAAGCTCTGCCATGTATTCCATTATCTCAGGAGACAAAAGAAAACATTTAGTTTCCACTTCTTTGTAAGCTATACAAAGATTTTCGGCTGTTTTAGGTCATCAGTCAGACTCCAGGCATTGAAATGACTCCTTGAGAACTATGAAGAAGAAATAACTGAATGTATACTGTTACTTAAGTAGAAAGGTGCCTTCCAGTCAATATAACATTAGAATAGGTATAGACAGGTAAATAGATTGGCACATATGTTTAAGATGCAAAACTGGGTGGGGGAAAAAGTGCTGTACAAGTACTGCAAAGTTTATACATCATAGCGGTGACCAAACAGTAGAAGAAATAATGTATAAAACATGAAGAGACTGATGTTTCAAAGCAGAGTACAAGTTATGCAATATACTAGAGACCTGTGTGGTGTGGATGTAGGTTTTTAAAAAGTACCACCTTGTTCTAGAATGATAGAACTTCAGTCCCTCATTAGATAAGCTTTCAGTTTTAGAGAGTTCTATAATTGCGTGGCACCAGGTAAATGACATAAGTGCATTTTGCCTTTAATATTACTAAAATTATCTTAATGCTCTTTAGTCATAGATTTTACAAGTGTGATAGTGGTATGGAGATGCTAATAAAAGCAGGTAATTTCATAAAATTCTTCTTCCAAGACCTTGTCCATGCTTCCAGAGGAAAGGGGTTAATATGAGAAATTTAACTCTGCATAAACATAGCTGTAGCTCTTTGGACACAGGAATGCAGACGTACACTTTTTCATTTAAATCAATGTTAATAAATTACTTTTTTTATATAGGTATATCTGAACCTTTTTTTCTTGCTAAAAGTGAAGATCGTTTGTTTAAACATTTATTTGAAGACTATCAAAGATGGGTTCGTCCAGTGGAACGCTTGAATGACACAATAAAAATAAAGTTTGGCCTTGCAATCTCTCAGCTAGTAGATGTGGTATGTATAGTAAATAAGTTCATTTATTTTTTTTCCCTAATTCTTAAAATTCTGGAACATAATGTCATATGAAATAATTATGCATATATTAGCTTAAACACAATAGATTAAACCTCTAAAATTATTATCAGCATAGTAAAAAATACATTGTAGATGGAGGCATGAAGAAGTGATTGCAAAGAGCTTGAGAAGACAGTTGGCTCTTTTGTTTAGTGGCGTTTTCAGCAAAAAAAAAGTGAGTGAAATTCTTAAGCATAGGGAATTGTGTTTTAATTTATTTATTCAATGGGAAAACAATGTATTTTTAAACTTTATCAATCTCATTTCCGTAAAATTCAGGAACACTGGCAAATACTGCTCTTTTTCCTCCCTTAAGCAGCAAAAAACCTCTAAGCCTTCAAATATGTCACTTCCATAGTAATGAAGATTATCTCTTGGCATTACCTGTGATGTAAGAGAGATCACCCAGATTTTTTTTTTTCCTGATACTTACTCACTTCAGAATATTCTTTTCAAATTGAATTCACTGTTTATAGCTGTAAGAGGAGTTTTTCTTCCACATGTTGGCTGTTCCTTTATGTTTCCATAGAAAAACAATAAGACTGCATAAAATACAGTCAAATAAAAAAATGGAAGGGAGGAAAGAGACAGAGAAGGGGAGAATACAACTTTTAACAGTTAAATAATCAAAGGTCATAATTGTGTGTTTAAAAAGTTCTCATATAAGCATACTTACCAATGACTGGAATGCTTTTAGAAGTGTGTTTTGTATTTTAAATTACAGACCTCTGTGAATTAAAGCAGCTAGTTACTCTGTACTGTGCAGATATTTTTCATAAAATATGCTTTATTTTTATAGGACGAGAAAAATCAATTGATGACAACAAATGTCTGGTTGAAACAGGTATGTGTAAAATATTGATGAAAAATTCTGAAGCTTCATAACTGCAAGTCAAAAGTTGGAAGAAACTTTGCTAATTAATTGCGTATTGAAAAAAACTTAGTGGTTGCATGAATTTTTATTTTACATAGTATCCTTAAAAATGTCCCTGGAAATGCTTTAAAGGATTAATTGTTATAAAACTCTTAAACAAAAACAAACAAACAAAGAGGTAAATTTAAAAAAATTACCTAATGAAAAGAAATCTGATATGGCATTGCATGGCCATTTAATATACCAAGGTGTGTGTATCCAATTGTAAAAGTTACTGCTTCAGTACATAAGTTTTCTTTCAAAAACTATGAAAAGTATGGTTTGTGTAATCTTTTGTATAATAGCTTTAAGATCTTTCTTTTGTGGGGTACTTGAGATTATTGGGTAAACATCACAAGAATTGCAGTTTCAAAGTTGTATATGATTCCTATAAAGAGCAACTTCTTCCTCGTAAGAATATTTGTTTACGGGTAGGAAAAAGCCTCAAGCTTTATAATAATCAGAGTCCAGTGCTAACCTTAATGGCCACTATTAACTTGGGAAATGCTGCTCACAAATCATTCTTGATTTAACTTAGAAGAATGTTTGCAGACCCTGATTATACTTACTAGCTTACTAAATTATTTTTATTTGGGCTACTTCCTTTGTTTTTTTTTTTTTCCTGTTGCTTCCCATTCCCTTCTTTTCCAGTAACTGTAATTTCAAGCAAAGTTTTTGTTTTCAGGAAAACTTTGAGACTACTCAGCAAGTATGAGATGGCAATATGTCGATGATAACGCTTTGTGCCCTCTTAATAGTTTCTGCAGAACTTGTTGCAGTTGAACCAGTTCAAAAAAAAAAAAGAACTGACCTGAGTACGCATTTAAAATTCTATGTGATAGTGAATTCTTAGAAACTTGAATTTTTCCTCTTGAGCTTTTAGTTCAAGTATAAAATTACCAAAGTATTACTATGCTTTTAATGGTGCTATTTTTAGTGTTGCTGATAGAAATAGGAATAACTATCTTGAGAGTCGCAGCATGATTTTTTTTTTTGTGATGAAAATGTTTAAATTGCTTCTGATCAGCTTCCAAAGTCATTGATATTCATTCAGAATAAGCTTTTTTCAAATTTAATTGTCTATATGTTGTAATAGCTCTTACTTATGTATACATGTTCTGAAAAAGGATTTTAATATCTTAAGTTCTGTACAGAAATACTGTCAAGTGGCTCTTACAACAGAAAACAAATATTGGATGAGTTAAATAGATGTCTGTTCAGCAAATTCACTGTTGTATGCAAATTTTAGAAGCCAGTTTGTTTTTTGTTTTTCTTTTTAATTGTCTTTTTATCTATTTTCATCCAGTCTTGCCCTGCTTAAACCAACTTCACAATAATAATGATTTTTACATCTCGCATATCCACAGGAATGGATAGATGTAAAATTAAGGTGGAATCCTGAAGACTATGCTGGAATAACATCTATTCGTGTCCCATCAGATTCTATTTGGATTCCAGATATCGTGTTGTATGACAAGTAAGATTTTAATCTTTTCATATAAATTACATTTACTTTCTAACTTTACTGTCCAAGCTGCTTGTAGGAGGCTCATTGGATAGATATGCGTGTACATTTAGTAGAGATAAGAATGTGTGGAAGAATTTGCCTCTGAATGCAAATGGATTTTGTTGCCATGTTAAATGCTTAAATGTTTTGCTTTGCTTCTGTATGGAGTCTCCTTGAAAAGTTTATTTCCACTTCTTCATGTAAACTCTTTTTTTAAGTAGAAAACAATGTCTTGCACAGTGCCGAGTACAAACTAATAGTGTAGAGCGATGGGAGGGAAGCAACTAATTCATACTGTTGTAAGTCATATTCAGCATGGATTTAAAATTAAGTACATGCAGCTGTAAGGGTTTTTGTTGGTTGTTGTTTTTTGTTTTGGATTTCTTTTTTTTTTCTTTTTTTTTTTTTTTTTTGAGAATGAACAGATCTCAGAAGCAATAACTTTTGAATTAACCTTTCTGCTCAACTCAGGTGCATATACAATGCTTTTACGTTTCCTGACTTGTTGAGACAGGAAAAAAGGCTGTTGCCGTGATTGTAAATTCAAGTTTGGAGGTGGCGCACAAGTATTATTTTACCTGTTTTGTGACTTTTTTCTTTAATAATTATGATTTGGCCAAATTGAAAAGTATCTATGCTGTATTACCAATAGAAACACCAGAGTCTGCTCATGCTGTTAAAGGTCAGGATTTTTACAATCCTTTCATAAGTCATTGGGGGCACAGAAAGTTGCACAGATCTTTTCATGACTTGAAAATATTCTTCACTCTTCCAAAGCTGTTTACCTGTGTGAGATTCAGATTAAAAAAAAAAAAGTTGACCATGAACACAATACAAAATTTTGGCTATGAAGGGGGAGAAGGGATAAACAGCTGAAATGACAATAACAAAACATATTTTCTTATTTAACCCCCCCCCCATTGTAATTGCATGCATATATCTCTCTTCTTTTAGTGCAGATGGACGTTTTGAGGGAACATCTACAAAAACTGTGGTAAAATATGATGGCACCATTGCTTGGACTCCACCAGCAAACTACAAAAGTTCTTGTACTATCGATGTAACCTTCTTCCCCTTTGACCTCCAAAATTGCTCTATGAAATTTGGTTCCTGGACTTACGATGGCTCACAGGTTGATATAATTCTTGAAGATTATGATGTTGACAAAAGAGACTTTTTTGATAATGGAGAATGGGAAATAGTGACTGCAACAGGGAGCAAAGGAAATAGGACTGATGGATGCTGCTGGTATCCTTTTGTTACATATTCATTTATAATTAGACGTTTGCCACTTTTTTACACGTTGTTTCTCATTATTCCTTGTATTGGGCTTTCGTTTCTAACTGTCCTTGTCTTCTATCTTCCTTCAAATGAAGGTGAAAAAATTTCACTTTGCACTTCAGTACTAGTATCTTTGACTGTTTTTCTTCTTGTTATTGAAGAGATTATTCCATCATCTTCTAAAGTTATCCCACTTATAGGAGAGTACTTGGTGTTTACTATGATATTTGTGACATTGTCCATTGTGATAACTGTCTTTGCTATCAATATTCATCATCGCTCTTCATCTACACACAATGCTATGGCACCTTGGGTTCGCAAGATATTTCTTCACAAACTTCCCAAGCTGCTTTGCATGAGAAGTCATGTAGATAGATACTTTGCTCAGAAGGAGGAAACAGGAAATATGAATGGATCAGAATCATCTAGGAACACCTTGGAAGCAGCTCTAGATTCTATCCGATATATTACAAGACATGTTATGAAGGAGAATGAAGTTCGCGAGGTGGGTGTATTAGTCATATTACACTGATTTTGTAAAACTGGAAATTAAAAAACCAGTGATGGTTTACTATGCAGTTGCATATTAAATATGTGCTATGGGATTTCCATTTTTTGTACTTCTGGAAGCTGTGTCATTATTTCCACTGGAAAGAAGTACAAGTATGGTACAATACTGAGAATTCTTACAGATATTGACTGATACAATACAGTACCTGGGTCATTGGGTTCTTTAAAGTCTTTTGCATTCTTCTAGAAGTAAATTCATATTGTTAATTACACGTTTTCAGAGATACTTGTCTGTTACAAGAGCATGTACTGTAACTGTTCCCTACAGTGCTGCCGGATGTTATTTTCATGATGAGAGAAGTAGGTATTTTTCATTTTGATGTTGTACCTGAAGGCTATCTGAAAAATGCACTTGCCTTACTTTTTCAGAATAAATACTGCTAAGCCTTATTTTGCAGCTTTCAATTCCAAATAAAAACAATTTTAATGCCCTAACTTATGTTAGTTTAAATACAAGGTATAGCCATATGTTGGTCATTTTGTGCTGAGATCAGACATGGACTAGATGACTTCTTGAGTGTTCTCTTCTAGCCTTATTATTATTTATCTCTAAGTTATATCAAAAGACGTCAAAAGCTTTTTTTCAGTCTGTACATGTGTACTCTGAACTATCCTTAATGGATGTTTACACCATTCGGGTAAAAGCATTATGAATATGTTTTTCTTTCCATGCTTTTTTAACTAGCACCATTGGTGCTATTTTCAGGCTAGCGTAGAAATACAGACATTTGTTGTGCGGTCTCATGATACTCTATCTGTTTATGATGGCAAGGCCTGAGATTCTTTCAATTTATGCAGAGATTATGTCTTCAAAAGTTGCTGGTTGCTGAGAGCGTGTTCTCATGTGCTAGCCTAGGAGTAAGCTAACTCCTCTAATGTACCTTCTCAGGACTCAGTTCTGACATTATCACAAGGCATCCAGCCTAGATTTTCAATAAATGTATCTACTGTTAAAAGAGCATCTAATACCCCTGCATTGTATAAACAACACAAATAGAATAGTTTGCGATTAAATACATGATTTCCTGTAAATTAAGGGTTGGTTTTCTTTCTCTTACTGAACTTACTCTATTTGACTGTGAGTGACAAGAGAGGTGGTAAGTATTTTGTTTTTCAGGTGTAATGTTGTTGTGACTCTAAACCTCAGAAATTAATATACAGCTGACTGGGGATTCCCTTGTATTTTATTATTTGGACTGCAGAGAATGCAAGCTTTAACTGCAAAAGTTGTTAATAAAAACTACGCAGTTAGTGCTGTTGTAGCCTTACCTCTTGAGAAGCAGTAGGCTTGGGAAATGTGGATAGCTGCAGTTCAAATCAAAGACAAGTGTTTGGCAGAGGTTTAATTTGCTTGCACAATTATATCTACTATACTTGCAAAACTGTGTACAGATAGGAATAATCCTATCAAAAAGGAAAATAGTCTTGAAAGTGCTTTGAGTATTCTCCCTAGTGTATAATTCTGTGCAGCAGTACAGCTTTCAGATCTTGTATGTAACACAACAGCTGCTGTCTACTGTTAATATTTTTTTTTTTTTTTAATATATTTTGGTTTCGGTAGTTTGTTGTGGTGGGGGTTTTTTGGCTTGTTTTTCATTTGTTTGTTTGTTTGTTTACAACTCTTGCTTCTAGCTCCTGCCCGGGAATTCCACTTTATGAATGAGGCTGTGGCATGAATCCTAAATCCTGCAGTATGTTAGAAAATTGCATACCGATTTCATCTCTCTGTAGTTGAGGATGTTAAGTGCTCTGTAGGTGAGGATGCTCAGTGCTTGTCAGGGTCAGTTTCTGCATTAAAATCTAGTATTGGTCTATATAGCTTACCAATCTTCATAGAGGGAAGTTTGTTCCTGTTCTAGCTCATAGTCTACTTATAAAAAGTTATTAAAGGGGGTTACCAAATGGACCTGATTGGAAAAAAGTGTGCTGTAATGTGATTAAGAATTGCAGGGTTTGGTACTGTATTTTTACCTGCTCTCACGCGTACTGACCAACTCTAATGCTCTTTGTTTTTTAGGTTGTTGAAGACTGGAAATTTATTGCTCAGGTGCTTGATCGAATGTTCTTATGGACTTTTCTTCTGGTTTCAATAATTGGATCACTTGTGTTATTTATTCCTGTTATTCATAAATGGGCAAGTATAATAGTACCTACGCATATAGGCAGTACAAATGCATAAAATATTTTTTGATCTGTCTCCTGCTAATAAGGCTCTAAAGAGTTTTGCAGTAGCTCTATTTCCATGCACATTCATTGTAGGCATGTTTCTGATAGAGTACAAAAAAAAAAATCCAAACCCAGAAAATGAAGTTTATATTAAAGCATGGCATCTCTAGGACACATAGAAGTCAATTTGCTTATTGCCAGTCTACTGAGTTACTTCTAAATGGGGTCAGAATTAAAAGGACCTTCTCAAGCACTTGCATGTGTGATATGTCAAAAAAGCATATACTGACACCTACTGCAAAATAGAAGGATTAAAAATTTTTACAGGATGATCACCGTAGTCCAATTGTTAAATTACTATATAAATTGTTATATTGAGTATTAAATATTTGCAGATATTTACACAGTAAGAGTTGCTTATTTCAATTTACTGTAGTATGCAAGGAGAATTTTTATCAGCTCTCTTGAATGTGTTGTAAAAGTATAAAGTTTCTACAGAGTAAATTTAAAATAATAATAAAAATACCAGTTAAACTTCCCGTATATTCAACATATAAGTAAAAATAGCATTTTGGCGATGTTTTGCCTTTATAAATTTTCAGTGGAATTTGCTGCTAAATTTAAAGCCTTGCTAATTCTATCATACTAAGATGAACATTGATACAGTAAGCCTTAAAATGCCTGCAGGATACATGTATATTGATATCTCTGTATTGGCTATGGAAAGGAAGGCAAAGACAATTAAATGAGTTCCCAAGTTGCAAGAGTGTTCTAATGTACCAGGACATACAGATTTCTTTGTTCTTGATGAAGAATTTGATACAGTATGTTAGTTGCAAACATGTTAATAATTTCCTGCCTTTGTGTGTTTCTCAGAATTAAGTTTTTAAGCACAGGTAGAAGGAAATTGGGGAATGCATTTCTGAAGGAAATGGGTTGAAAATTATTATGGTGTGTAACCAAATACAGATGATTAGTTTTCACACATTTGTTAAACCGAACTTAGAAAGCTACCTTTAATAGGTTCTCTCACTTACAGAACATATGTAACTTTAAGCAGTGAGGACTTGCAGCTTTCCATACTTTCTTTTTTCTAGAGAGTGTTGAAAACTAACTTGCAACTTTTTAATTATTCCATTAAAATATATTCTTTAAATACTGATTTTAAATTCTTTACTTTCATTCTAGTGCCACCTTTCTTAAAAGCTCTATTTCTGGAAGAGACTCTAAAATAGATGGCGGTTTTCCTACACCAAAGTTTTGTCAGCATACTTCATAATGTAGTTGCATCCTGCAGGGCTAATACAGTAATGCCAAGCTAGAGCAAGTCTTGGGAAGTTTTTATTTGCTTAAATTACTACATTAATAATAATATGTTTAGGTGAGAAGTTTAATGTAAATTGTGGTATCTTTGATAATGTAAGTTTTTATAGTGGTTATGAATTTGGAAAATGGATACATATTTCCCCCCCTTCCCCTGTATCTCCTTTAGAATAGCACTGTACTTATTATAATACTGATTGCTTATGATAACTTATACATAATTGAATATTTATTTCAAATTGTTTTCACCTGTAGGACATTCTTGGTTTTGTGTAGCTCACAGGCAGGGAAATGATGCCAGGCGAGCCCCGGGGGGGCCTTTTTTTTTTTTTTTTTTTTTTTTAAAAAAAAAAAACAAAACCGATTTATAAATAATTCTGATTGTAAAGGGAGTCACTCTTCCTCTTCAGTTATACAATTACATCTAGCATTGGATATCTATATTTCCTCTATTCCCATCATAATTAATTTTAAAGGTGAATTTGCAAAGATTATCTGATTTAATCCATTAATATAATAATTTTAACTTTCTTAGTATTACTAAGATTAAACAATGCATCAGTGACTTTGTGTGGAAGTTGCAGAAATACTTTAGATATCTTATTTCCTCTTCAGATGCAAAAGTTCTTATAGTCCTCCTTGGGTTTGAATTACTAAAGTTTACTCTTACCTGAACAGAAAGCAAAGTAAGTAAAACTCCAGATTAGCTATATATATATTTTTTTTTTTTTTTTTTTTTTTTTCCACTCCGCACCTCCCTTGTTAAATGATGTCTGTAGACCGCCCAATTATATCATAAGGTGATTGGCAGCATATTGGCCAATGGAGTCCCAGTCTTTATACTAGTAACTCACAATTTTTGCAAATGCATGAATTTCTTCTAGTCACTTCTACAATCTGCTCATGATAAATACAGATAGCTGACACTAGAATCCTTGGGGTCTTCAGCTTATCAGGTGTGTCTGAAACAAAATAATTTTAATAACTCAGAAGCATGGACCTTTAGTTATGTGGCTTGTTTCTGAATGTGTTGAACTATAGCTAATGCTACCTTATATAGGTTTTTGTCAGTCAAAATAAATGGGAAAAAAAAAAGCGCACAATTTGCAACAGCTTGAGTCTCTTTATTTTCATAAATGTTACATCACTTGTTACACTGTATTTCCAGAAAGTTTCCAGTTTGGTACAGAGACAACAGTTCATATTTTTACAAAATATTTTCTTATTACAGAATTTTGTTGCATTCTTTATTCATGTCCTTAAATTATCTGCAGTTACTGATTTAAAAAAAAAAAAAAGTATGCCTAAGAAGCAATTCTAGCATATTTTACAGCACTATTTTGTATCTACCTGCCTTCCCTTGTCATAAAACGGTTCACTATAGCGGGATGCTTCTGTATCCACACTATCCTATCAAAGTATTTTGATCCTTTGCATAACCTGCAGACTGCATCTTAGTGTGTGTTTTACTTGTACACAGTTTTAAACGTATTAGGTTTGAATAGCTTGTTTTTTCTGACAGCCTTCTCATACATTGAAATACGGGGATGCACAGAGTTTACATTATGGCTGCTTTATTACAGTCATCTATTATTTACGTATTTGTTTTCCTTTTGTAATAAACCTGCCCATGGTCCTTTCCTCCCACTGTTTGAGTCAATTTATACACCAGGTGGCAATGTCTGCACTCTAGCAATTTGGTATGTACGCTTCCTAAACCATTTCGTCCTCATTGAACTCAGTATGAACTTATTCCCAGAAGATCCTGTCATGGTCTGAAGAGACTTGGCACCAGACTTGTGGAAACAAATCTAGTAGCCCAAAGTATTCAATCTGTCTTGACTTTCCGAATATTCATGTAATTTTCCATTTCTTTATCAACCCCTTCTTAAACCATTCCTATAAAGTTTAATGTACTACTACATCTTTTCCAATTATTGCAAAAAGTAGCTGTCAAGCATAGCTCATACTACTTTGAGATTAGCTGTCCATAAAGGTTCAAAATCTTTTTTTCTTCTCCACTTTTTCACATTTTTAACAAAGCCGCCTTGGTCAAGCAAAGTTGAGACCAAGAGAGATCCTTATTCTACTACACATAGAAGAGACATCAGGTGCTGGGGTGGGAGTGAAGATTTGGTTGGCAAAAGTTTTCTTTGATTTCACAACATACTATTTAATCTTTACATTTCATCTCCAGCCATCAAAGGTTGTAAAAACAATCCTGCTGTTCCTAGAATACATACCAGGATGAAAACCCATAGAAAAATACGATCGATTACCATGGCAACGTATTTCCAGTCATCCTGAATCTGAAAAATAAATTGAATAGCAAGTAGACATGTTTAGTAGACGAATAACTTGCATTAGCAATTAGTAACATTCTATGTGGGAAGCACAGGTTTTTTCCATATGTAGATGTCTTTCATATATGCACAACTTGCGTATCTCTGTTTTCACTGACAAATGAATTCATCGTGAAGCAGCTTTATTTGAATATGCTATTTGTGGCAAAGCCAAAAGTTACTTCTTCAAATAAGAAAAGTTGTTCACCAAGACTGGACTGTTCACTGGACTTCATGAGATACAATTTCTCTTCTGTATGCCAAAAATAAAAGTGAAAAGCTTTACATTCTTAGGTGATCAGGTTTGTCCAGGAAACTTTACTGGAACAGACTGCTCCTACTGGTCTTTAGGCAGTACGTAAAAAGACAAAGGTTAATTGGTATATAATTATTTGGTACGTTTCTTATGTAGTACTGAAATTTGATTGTTCTCATGCATGATGTAAAATTCATCTCCTTACCTTTCATGTAGAGAGGGAACCAAGTTTCCAAAAAACAGATTTTTCTAATTTTTTTTTTTACAGTGGGCATTATAACAAGAGTGACACTTAAGTATTATATATGCTATATATTAATAGTAACTACATTAGGTGATCATTTTAGTTACTCTTGAGATTACAATTTAAATTTCTACTTCCTTTTTCTTCAGGAAGGCTAATAAATGAATAATGCATTTGTTGTTTGAAATTTTGCGCTTTTTAGCTTAGAATCTGTTTGTTAAGGCAGGCTTAAAAAATCCAAAACAACCCCGTATTTTTTGTACCAATTAATTCTAAATAAAGTTCTGATTTCAGCATAAACGAAGTAACTTCATTCTAACTTTAAGTGCCATACTGCAGAGGATTTAAATTTAGTGATGATTGTGGTGGTGTGACTACTATTCTTAGCATGTTTGAGGAACGTGATAAAAAGAAAAGTTTAATTTTTTTTTTATTGCATCAAGATGCAGCTTTATGAAAGATGATGGTCCCCATCTTGCAGCAGTTGTGTCATTTAGCTACAGCACTTTACTCTGCAGCAGCTGCAGAATAAACATCATCATCACTGTGAAGAACATTCATTCTTACGACGTTTATTATTGATGGTAAGCTGTGGGAGGGAGAATGTAACTTTCTGAAGGCCATACAGTCAGCAAATTCCACTATTAAGATTGTAACTTGGAAAATCCTCACTCCGAATCTTGTAGGACGGATACTCAAGTATGTTTCCCTAGCAGTGGTTACCTTAACATGCTTCACTCGGTATACATGTTGTCAGTAAAGAGGATGTTGTGCAACAGAGCTGCTCCCCGAAATTACCCACATTCAAAATTGCACATATTTGTAATACAGCTTGGGTAATTTACTTGTATAAAATAATGGTCTGTGTTGTCCTTTTTTTCTTTTTTTTTTTTTTTTTGAGATCCCTATTTCTCACAAAACACACTAATGGCAAATGGTGTCTGCATTTTGAGTAATAGTAAAATATGTTCTTACCTCTTTTGCTTCATTCTGCATTTTCATATTTTCTGCAATGTATTTAACACTTTCAATAGCATCTCTCATTTCTGGTGACAGAACTGAAAATGAAAACAGAGGATCTACAGACTCAGAGCTTGAACTTCTTGTGAGATTGCCACTGAAATCCGAGAACTTCATTCGCTGATACTGACAATAGCTGCATGCCGTATCTTGACATACAAAGCCATCTTTGCAGCATTTGGTTTCAGAACTGTTGAAGCAATTTAAGTTTGAAAACTCAGAAGTGAAAAATGGTTTTGGCTTCTGATTATTCTCTTCATCACTGGCAGGCCTTGTCATAAACATGATCCTGGGAAGTAAGTTCAAGAAAATGGTTCTCACCCACACAGGCATTGTGTGTGTCTTGGGTGTTCTGTAGTGCACGTTAAGTACAAATACCGTAATGACAATAGATAGAGTTACAAATATCATGGTGAAAAGGAGGTATTCCCCAATAAGTGGAATTACCAGGGAAGTAGAAGGTATGGTTTCTGTGATAACAAGAAGGAACACTGTTAAAGATAGAAGGACTGATATGCAGAGTGTCACCTTCTCACCACAGTCTGAAGGCAAATAGAAAACTAATACAGTCAGAAAAGAAATCAACAGACATGGAATAATCATATTGATAGTGTAAAATAAAGGTAAACGCCTAATGTAAAGAGAATATGTGATGTCTGGATATATCTCTTCACAGCAGTTGTATTTGATGTCATGTTTATACCCAGGAGCTTTAATAATAGCCCATTCTCCACTCTCCCAGTAATCCTTCAGGTTCATTGTAGAGCCAATTAAAACTAAGTCAATTTTGGCTTTATCGTAAGACCAGGAACCAAACTTCATGGTGCAGTTCTGATAGTCAAATGGGAAGTAGGTTACATCTATTTTACATGAGCTTTTAAATATAGCTGGAGGTATCCAGGTCACATCACCCGTGTATTTTAATAGGGCCTTTGTCTTGTCATCAACCTGGAAATCCCCAACTGCACTGTAAAGCAAATAAAAATAACAAAATTAGAATGCAACTACTCCAGGTAGTTTCATAGGTTCAGATCATATACATTAACTCTTTAATCTGTTTTGGGAAAGTCAGCAATTACATGTTGACATGGAGCTGAATTGCATGTGCAGGACTGAGTCACCGGCTGTCAAATTTGCGTAGTTAAACTGAAATAAACAGCTGTATAAATTTACTATGGAGGATTTGAAAGGGAATATTCTCCCTTAGAATAATATGACTCTGCAATCAATATTCAAAGCAGCAAATAGGAGTTTTCAAATGGCAGTCCAGCTAGATGATCGTTGTAGGTCCCTTCCAGCTGAACTATTTTACTCTATTCTGTTCTAGATCAAGCACAGAACCCAAGGGCTGATAAGAGGATACCTGCAGTACTGGTGTTTCCACCTCCTCTGTGGACAGTGCAGGTAGCAACTATGGAAAGAGGGATTAGGGTTGGGATGCATCTTTGATAAGGAGTGTATTTGGTGAGGGTTTTTTTTAAGTCCCACATTGCTATCCTGAGTTGTTTATATGAAACAGTAAAACTAAAAAGGTAATTTGAAGTTTTAAGGCCACAGTTAGAAAAGGAGTGTCATCACTGTTGTTTCATAGACCTAAGTTTTGGATCTGTGTAGCTAAGTCCACTTCACTGAGAACTGCTTCCATACATAGCAGAGGGATCCACTTAGTTATGGTTTGGCTCCTCACAGTCACAGAAACTGACATCCAAAGTAAATTTGCCTGTGGCTTTTATAGTAAAGGTGTCAAATTGCGGGTTTATCTGCTAAAAAGCTAGAATTTGCAGGTTTTTTCAGTCAAAGGTCTGACTCTCAGACAAGAAATCTCCAGTCTAAGGGAATTTCTTGCCACATCCCTTATAGACAGTGATAGAAGTAATAGTAAAAGTCGGGGCTTGTGAAGGGGAAAAGCAAAGTTCACTTTGGCCTGCCCACTTCAGCTCCAGGTTCGGAGCTGGCTCCTGCCCAGTGATGCTGATGTAGATGGCATAGAGGCAAGTACAGCAATAGGGAGATGTGGGACACAAGTGTGTTGAAAAGCAGGCTTTTTCAATTAATTCAGTGAACCTGATGCTGTTTTTTTTTAAACTTGTAACATCACCCCCTTCTTCCTGAATTAAGAAGATAAATATGCAAGAGTCTTACTTGTTATATAAAACAATATCTGGCTTCCAGATCTGGCCAGATGGTACTCGGATGAATTCAGCACCTCCATAGTCCGCTGGATTCCACCGAAGCTTGTAATCATTCCAGATCTAATTATGGAAGAAATTAGTCTATGTTAGGTTTGTGAAAATCAGTGGACTAGACTCAATTGTGAATTGAAATTCAGTGGACTAGACTCAAACCAAGTGCTGTCATGTTACTTCTAGGGTTGTTTTATTTTGGATACTACAATGATTAGATGTTTCTTTAACAAACACGTATGTCTGGTGTTTATTCACATGGAGATTATGGGCCTATTGGTCTAGATATGATTTACACGTGTGTGACTCCATTTCCCAGGAATGTCTACTCAGTAGTTGGAACAAGGTGAAAGAGGGAATAAGACACTCTCTTACCGGAGAGTGTAGGACTTCAGTAATAACTTAGGTCTCAAAAAAACAGGTATCTGTGAAATGGTGAAAACAAATTCATAGGAGGCTCTGGTGCTAGATGTGAGCATTGAGTGGGTGGGTTAGAAAGAGCTGCAGGGTGTCATTGCTCGTTTAAGTAACAGTCTTGTTCACTGGGGCTCATTGAACCCCAGTTTAACAAAGTTGAATATTAAGCTGAAGCCAGGAATTAAGTTGGTTATTAAGCTGACTGCAACTGTGAGTAATTGCGTTTTTAACCCATAAAGACCCTTTTAAGTGAAGTCAACATTTTTGGATTGTTCTCACTTTCCGGGAGCTAAACAGCACGAAGTGATGCTGTGGGGGACCTCCGTGCTGAGGTGCTGCCTCTGTGCATCAGTGTCTGCCAAGGCAGTGTGTTCGGGAGTCCTCAGAGCAAAAATACAGTATTTAGCGGCAATATTAAGTGCAGGAAGGTTAGGGCTGCAGCTGACGACTCACAACCTGAGTTTAACAGCTGCACCCCGGGCCAGGCCCGTATTTAAAGGCTGCAGCACCCAGACTCAGTGAGACAGAAACGTGGAGGGGTCGGGGGCGACGACGTTGACGTTGTTATTTCTGGCCGGTCAGTTAACGGGACGGGAGATGCCCCCTTGCAGGCGGTCGGCCGGGGCCGGGCCTT